GAACCAGTGATACTGGCGGTTTTGACGACACTGGCGGAACCTGGGCCAACGCAAGCGGCGGATGGGGCGCCGTACCTACCGCCGCAGACAGCGGCTGGGGCACTTCCCGCGAAGAACGAAGGGGGGGAGAGGACATTCGCGAAGAAATCAAAGCAGCACCTGCAGTCGTTCCTCTCGGTCGTCCCCCGCGTCACATCCCGCTCGCACCACCCCCTGCAGACATTCCCCCGCGTCGCGACCCTTGGGACACCATCATCTGGGGCAACGAGCCGTCAACCCCGCGTCGCACTGTCTACGGACCTGCCCCTGAGCCACGCCAACCTACCTTAGTCCCTGGAACTATCCCTGGGACCAACATCCCACTCTCTGACATTCGCGACAGAGAGTTCTTGGCGCTGATGCTGACTACCGCGGCAGAAGAAGAAGTCGAAGAAGTAGCGGCAGAACCTGCTCCTGTACCTGACGAAGACCCTGAAGAAGCGCGCGCGCGCTATATGCGCACCTCCGGCTTTCGCGCTGACGATGCCCTCTGGCATCAGCGCCTCGGACACCCTTCCCGCGCGACGCTGAAAAACTGCATCGACGCAGGCGTCTTCGCTCCTGGCGCACTCCTGCGCCCTGATGGCTCCGAAGTGAGCGGCGCGACACACCCGCGCAACTGCACCGTCTGCCCCGAAGCCGCGCTGAGTCACCAACCGTTCCCGCTGCTCGAACCTGGAACCAACCGCTACCCCAAGCTGCACAAGGTGTACAGCGATTTCCTGAACGTGGGGCATTGCGGAGTCGAGGATGAGCTATACACGCTCACCTTCATTGACGCTGGAACGCGCTATGTGTGGGTCGTGAATGTGGAGTCGCGAGACAGAGCCTACGAGGTATTTCGCCTCTGGCTGCCGCACGCGGAGCGGCAATCTGGGAAGAAGCTTAAGATTTGGCAATCCGACGGCGCGGCAGAGTTCAGGAGCAACCAGATGCAGACCTTCCTGGCACAGAAGGGGATCGAGCACCACATCTCTCTCCCCTACGCACACCAACAGCAGGGCGTAGCTGAGCGGACGAACCGCACACTAATGACGAAGGTGCGCGCGCTGATGAAGCAGTCGAAACTGCCGCCGATCTACTGGACCTACGCTATGCACCACGCCGTGCGGGTGCACAACCTGCTTTCGACCACCGCCATCACCGGCAATCTGTCCCCGCACGTCAAGTGGACCGGGACTAAGGGGGACACATCGATGCTGCGCGTATGGGGATGCATGGTGCAGTACCGCCCGCCAACGTCAACTATTGGCAAATTCGCCAGCCGCGCGCGCTGGGGAATTCACCTCGGCATCAGCCACGAACACAAGGCGTGGATCGTGCTGGACCTCCTCAGTCAGAAGACTGCCAACGCTCGCGACGTCATATTCTACGAACGTCTCTTCCTCGACCAATTCCGCCGCGACGAGCAAGCGAACGCGAATCGCGTCTATACCAACGATGGCCACAGCTACGCAACGCCTGAAGACGAAGCCGCTGCAGCAATCCTGGAGCAGGATACAAGGGGAGAATTCGCATGGGAGGATCGGCGAAGCAGCGACGACGACGACGACTCCTCTGGAGGAGGAATCGGCGGAGCAAGTGGAAGCGGAACAGGCGGAAGCGGCGGAGGCGCAGCACCACCAGCACCTGACCCTGAAAGCGACGACGACGATGTGCAGGAAGTCGTCCCGCAACATCGCCACGACAGCACCGTCTCGGGACTGCAGCTGCTCGGACTTCACGCTGCAACCTCGAAAGCGCCACGCGTCATCGAGCCCCGAAATCCGCGCGAGGCCCTCTCTGGACCACACAGCAAGGAGTGGCGCGAAGCGATGGACGCGGAAATCAAGGCACTGGAATCACGCGACACCTGGGTGCTCGTCGACCGCGCAGCAATCAAAGGCGCAAGAATTCTCTCGGGGAAGTGGGTCTTCCGCGTGAAGACCGCGGCGGATGGAACGATCGAGCGCTTCAAGGCGCGCTGGGTGGTTCGCGGCTATGACCAGAGGCATGGGATCGACTTCGACCAGACATTTGCCCCAGTCAGCCGCCACACCTCCGTCCGCATCCTGCTCGCCATCGCAGCCGCAAGGCACCTGCCACTCCGTCAAATCGACGTGAAGAACGCGTTCCTGTACGCGTTAGTGGACGCCGTGATCTACGTGGAGCAGCCACACACCTACGGCGAAGGGGATTCGCGTGTGTGTCAGCTGCGCAAGTCTCTCTACGGCATCAAGCAGGCTCCGAGGCTGTGGCAGCAGTACCTGCACAACATCCTGCTTGAAATCGGGTTCAAGCAGATGCCGCATGATCCAGGGATGTACCGCCGCGACTTCCGCGGGGAATACATGTCAGAATCCCAGCCACTAACCACTGGGATAAAAGGGCTTGTTTGTGTAGCGGGTGAGTGCGCCCATAACCCCCCAGGCCAACGTGCCTGTAACCCTTCCCTAGGATCAATCGGGGATCTCCAGTGGACCTCTGACACCCCCCCGCACTGGGATGCCCGAAGTGCACACACCGGGAATCGAACCCGAGACCTTCGCTCTGATACCATGTCAGAATCCCAGCCACTAACCACTGGGATAAAAGGGCTTGTTTGTGTAGCGGGTGAGTGCGCCCATAACCCCCCAGGCCAACGTGCCTGTAACCCTTCCCTAGGATCAATCGGGGATCTCCAGTGGACCTCTGACAATACATTCTCCTCACCGTGTACGTCGACGACCTGCTTTACACAGGCTCAAACAATGAGCTTCTGGAGCAGTTCGAGAAGGCCTTGGCGGGGCGCGTCGACATTACGTGCAACTACGAGGTGAAGCAGTTCCTGGGCCTCAACATCTCCTACGCACCTGAGGCCATTCACCTCTCAGCGGCTAAGTACGCAGAGGAGTTAGGGAAGCGATTCAACATTTCACCTGCGGCTCACTCAACTCCCTACCGAACCCCCGGACCGAACCACAAACCTGACAACAAAGCCCTATCCCCTGCTGGGATTCAGACTTACCAGCAGCAGCTGGGATGCCTCCTCTTCGCCTCTGTCACCTGCAGGCCAGATCTCTCCTACATTGCGAGTCAGCTCGCGCAGTACTCACGCAAACCAACGGCCGAGAATCACCTAGACCTGCAGCGCGCCCTTCAATTCTTCGTTTCAACGCCCAAGATTGGGCTGTGCTACTCAACTGCACCAACTCCATCCTTCAACCTCATCGGCTACGTGGACGCCGATCACGCAGCAGACCCCGACAATCGACGGTCCAGGACCGGCTTCCTGTTCCGACTCGAGCCATCGGGACCAATCTCCTGGAATTCACAGAAGCAGGAATTGGTTGCCCTGTCATCCGCCGAAGCAGAATTTATCGCAGCAACCGCAGCAGTTCGCGAAGGCCTCTATCTGCAGGAACTCCTGCGAGAGGCGAAAATTCCGACTTCGCCGAGCTTCCGCCTTCACTGCGACAACCAGAGCGCGATTCGTATCGCGAACAAACCTGGTTTCGTCAACCGCACCAAGCACATTGCGCTGCGGTACTTCTTTGTGAAGGACGAGGTGGACAAGGGCAAGGTCAACTTGACCTACTGCCCGACGGGTGACATGGCAGCGGACTTCCTCACGAAGCGACTGCCACGCCAGCAGTATCAGCACTGCTCCGAACTCAGCGGCGTGGTCAAGCAGGTCAAGTCGAGCTACGGTCAGGAGTGAAGGGGGGTGTTACGAATAGTAATATTTGATATTACTGTGCACTCCTCACCGCAGCAAAGAGAAGCACGCAGTAACGAGAATGAACGCGAACCGTCAGACGGTTGGAATTGACTCGAAGCGACGGACAGTTGGAACGCATCTGGACCGTCGGAAGCAGACGGCATCGGGCAGCTGCAGGCAGGATGGTTTTGGCGGGAACAGTTACGAAACTGTACGCGCCGCACGGTTGGGAGTGAATTTGAATAAGGGAATGTACCCCTTAGAGTACATGGCTAGATAGGTCTGTTCGCATTCCCTTGTACTCTTATTTATATGACCTTGTTTGCATGTTTTTATTATCTCAAGCATTTACATTCACTCTGCTATTGAGATCAAGGGCCCACCAACTATTCTCACTGCGTGCGAACCTTCCTGGGTAGATCCCGGCCTACGATCAATCTCTGATCGCAGCAATTACCGAGCCTCAATTTGTCAATTTCTCAATTTGCCGAGCCTAGGGCGCATCAGGCTCTGATGCGGCCGCAGAACGCAGCCCAGGGATATGACAGTGCACGGACCGTTATACACAAATTTCACAAATTTGATGGCAGTGAGAGCATGGCACAGATGTTCCAAACCGCATACATTCCAAAGAAACGCTGCAAAGTTGAGTCATGTTGCAATTAGTAATCTGTGCAGAAATAAAATTTAAAGATAATTTTCTCTCTTTTTTTTTTCAGAGTTCACTGTTCGCCCTTAACGTTCTCCAAACTTCGTTATTGCTGATAGATCATGGATTTCAGCAAGTTCTTTACTTGCTGAAATGTATAAATCGCTTGTACCGAAACTGGAGTGCTCGAGGCGCCTTCCTCGGCCTTCACGTTTTTTGCCAGAGATGACTCCCATGCCACGTGGATTGCTGCTCAGGCAGGGGCATGTTGGCGGGAAACCCACTGTCACGTCTTAGCTTCGGCATGCATGCCGACTGGTTCTACCCTAAGCTCAACGCCGATTGGCCAGATTGTCCCGCTTTCGTTCCTCCATTTTCACATCCATGGCATGACCCATCGGTTTGGCTTGAAGCACTCGACCTCAACACCTGACACAAGCGAGCGATACGAGAAGCTTGATTGCATTTTATTGTTTTTTTGCTCGTAGGACTTAGTGAGGATATGACCGCATCGCGCGTTTCGTGAAAACTATGACGTTGTTCCGACACAACTTTCCAGAAGACGCTTGTTCCGCTCTTTCCACACTTAGTGACTGCTGAACGAGCAGCGTCTAGGCGAACGAACCGGCCACCATGTTTAAGGGATTAAGGACGAAAAAGGAGAGGTTCGACTTTAGGTTCCGGTTCCACGCGACGCGGGTAAGTGAAAACATTAGCGTCTGCTATTCAAATTACTTTTGGCGCATGTCGTCTCATCCTCCGGACAACAATTTCCGTCCACCCCTCGTGTGTATTCAGGTACCGGCGTCTGGTTTCGACAATCTCGTGGTGTTCGTCGTTCCCAGCGATGCCGGCAAGCCCGAGGGCCAAACCCCCAAGGCAACGGTCAAGAATGGCTCGTGCGCGTGGAGCGGGTCGGTCACCATCACCACGAAGCTCACGCGCCACGCCAAGGCCAAGGCGTACGAGCCCAGGCCGTACCGCTTCGTCGTGTCTTCCGTAAGTGCTAGTTACTAGCATGTTCCTTTCCCCTTTTTCCTGGTACCACCGTGCGTTTGTTTTAGTCTTTCCTCCACGATGCTTCACTCAGACGGTTATGTCCACGACTCGTTTATCCTGGCATTCTCAGTCGCTGTCAGTCGCCGTTTTCTTCGATCCATGAACCCTCGATCTCCCCACTTTCGCAGAACTCGTTGCGATCGGGCGTGCTAGGTGAGGCGACGCTGAACCTAGCGGAATTCGCGGGATTCGGAGGGCTGGACCAGCGAACGCTTCCGTTGAAGAACTGCAGCGCTGGAACCATCCTTCATGTAAGTCAGCTGGTCGAACTAGGTGGAGGAATGAATAAGAAAGGACGGGGGAAAGAGAACAAGCAATAAATAATAATAATAAAAGAAGAAATATCGCAATTGTAAGGCGTTTATTTATCTCAGGGTTGTGCTCCTTCAGCAATCTGTCGATAGGCTGACAAGGAAGTGAGGATGAGAGGAGTCGCTGTGTTTGCTCGTGTCAAGCTCCTCTGATAACTCTATCGGCATTGTGTCTCACTGCTTGTGCCTTACAGGCCACGGTTCAATGCACGGCGCTCGACCCAAGGTACGACCCGCTATACTGTTCACCATCTGCAATCATGCCGCTTCAACCGGGCCCCCGCAACCCTGCAGTGCTAGCCGCAGACGTTTGCCCACATTTCCCGACCACCACGTGAATCAAGTAGAGTCGCATATTGTAGGCTTTCCTCCGTAGCCTTTTTGACGAGCCGGTAGCTCATCTATTCTCCGTGCGCGTTGGGGCGTGGTGCGCGCGTGCAGGGACGACGACGAGAGCGAACACGAGGAGGTGGCCCCGAGGAGGGCGGCACCGGGGGCCGCTAGTGGCCGCCACGGCGCCGCTGCGGGCAAGGCGGAAGCCACCACTGCTGCCGCTGCCACTGCCGCCGCCGCCGCTGCTGCGGGTGGCGGCAAGGGACGACCGGGAGATGCGCAGGTATGCAGGGGCAGGTGCATGCGTGTTGCTGCGCAGGAAGGTGGCGCAGGAAGGTGGGTGCAGGTGTGTGCGTGTTATGGTGCAGGTAGGCGGACACGTGTGTGTGTCGTCTCGTAGCCTTGCGGCTGCAGGCGATACGCTGCGTTCGCTCCAGTCATCGCTACTCCTTGGTCGCTTCACCCCCCTCCCGCCATGCGCGTGCGCAGAAGCAGCATGCTCAGACCGCGAAGCAGAAGGGCGAGGGGGTGAAACAGCCGCAGAAGCAGGAGAAGCAGGAGGTGCAGAGGCAAGAGGCGCAGAGGCAGGAGGCGCAGAGGCAGGAGGCGCAAGAAGACGCTCAGCCCGTTGTTCGCCCCTCCTCAGACGTCCCTCCTGCGCCCTCCCAGGTCTGTGTGCCATCTGTGTGTTGTTTGCGTGCCGTTTGGTTGTGTGTGCTTCAAATGCGTGGGTGCTGGGTCTGTCACACAGGGTGAACGCATAGAGTGACACACAGAGTGAATGCACAGGGTGAACGCACAGGAAATGCTGAAGAACAGAGGTTCTATCCAGTTGAAAGACACGGGGAAACGGAAATGCACTTGTTCTTGTGCGTGCGTCTCATGCAGACGCACATATGGTTGATGCTCTGGTGGGTGGGACAACAAAGGTAGGAATGAAGAGCTAGGCACTGCACGTAGACTGCGTCTCCGCCCTTGTCTCCTCTTGTTGCTGGTATCGCATTACTCCCCTTCTTACCCCCCTACTTCTCCTTCCCCACCAACCCTCTCCACCCCTTTCCACCCATCGCTCCCTCCACTCATCATTGCTGCCACTGTTGCCATTGCCCCCACTCCACCGCCCTCCATGTGCTTACCAGGACGAGGACTCGTCGTCAGAAGAGTCCTCTTCGTGCGACACCACACCGCGCACCACCGCCAGCACCACCAGCGCCACGCCCAGCTCCGCCGCACCCTCCGCCGCACCCTCCGCCGCACCCTCCGCCGCCGCTGCCCCTGCTGTTGTCACTGCCTCTGCTGTTGCTAGCATTTCCCAAACTGCAGCTGCTGGCGCTGCTCCAGGTGCTACTGCGGGAGCAGGAGCAGGAACAAGTGCAGGGACAGGAGTAGGTGCAGGGGCAGGGGGAGGTGCGAGCAGCACTGCGGGCGGTCGCGGGGGGCGCGGTGACAGTAAACCGTCCGCTGCCTCCCCGCGGGTGACGGGGAAGGAAGGCGGTGGCGGCGGTGGTGGCGGGATGTTCTTTTGGCGTTCCAGCAGCAGCAAAGACAAGGACAAGGACAGGGAGAAGGGTAAGGAGAAGGACAAGGGGAGTCTTATTCCCGCGTCGCCGCGATTCCGGTCCAAGAAAGAGCCCTCGTCTCCCGTGGTGCGCTCGCGTAATACGTCGCCCAGTAGAGACGCGACACGTGGCGGGGGGAAAGGGAAGGAGAAGGAAAAGGCGGCGGAGAAGGGCGAGAGGGGAGCGCTGGAGAGAGCGGGGGAGAGGCAGGAGAAGGAGGGTGAGGGGTGGGGTGGGGAGAAGGAGAGGGAGGAAGAGGACTGGATGGCAGGCGAAGGGGAGAGGCGGCCAGGGAGGAAGAAGGAATCGGGAATCGACCAGGACTTGGAGTGGCTTCGGCAGCAGGAGCTGCAGAAACAGCAAGAGGAGATGCGGAAGCAGCAAGAGGAGATGCGGAAGCAGCAAGAGGAGATGGAGAGACAGGAGCAAGAGAAGCAGAAGCAGCAGCAGTTGGCAGTGAGACAGCGAGAGGAGGAGGAAGAGAGGGGGAGAGAGGCGGGTGAGGAGTGGGATGGGCAGCAGAGCGAGGAGGAGGAGTTGCGGCGGCAGGAGGAGGAATTGGAGGAGGAAGCGAGGCGGGTGAGGATGGAGCGGGAGAAGCAGCGGCAGCGGAAGGAGGAGATGCGGCGGCAGCAGCAGCAGCAAGGGGGCGGCGGGTCAGTAGAGGTCACACCCGCGCAGAGCCCCGCGCTGCAAGGCAGGGCGGGTGGCTGGGATACGTGGGGGAGTGGCGCAGGGGACGGGCGCGGGGAGGGCAGGGCGGGCGGGGGAGAGAGGGAGCCAGCGCGGTCGCCAGGGCTTCCCCCGCCTGCGGGGGCCGCGCCTGTGGGGGCGGTGTCCCCGGGGAAGCTGCTGGGCGGGTGGAGCAAGCGCGCCAGCAGCAAAGACTCGCAGGAACAGGGCGCGGGGGCGGCTGATGCATCCGCCGCTGGGGGAGCGGGCGCGGGGAGTGGCGCGCATCGCCTTCCCCCGGCAGCAGCGCCTGCGGTGCTCCCCCCCGTTCCCGGCGCAGCTGCCGCCTCCCCCAGGGGTGCGCGGACCCCCTCGCCAGCTGGCACGCCCACTCACCGGCCAGCGAGGCAGTACGATGACGTGGCAGGGGCGGAGGGCGGCGGGATGGGGATGGGCGGGGGCGGGGAGAGCTCCCCGTACAGGTATGGTTCCCCCAATGCGCGGATGGGCGGAGCGGGGAGAGACAGCCCTGGCAATTACCGCAGCCCCGACCCTTCCCCAGGGATGGGGCCCGGGTTTCCGTTTGGGGAGAGCGGGGGGGGAATAGGGGAGGAGCGCAGCAGCTATGGCGGCGGCAGCAGCACCGGCGGTTACCCCTTCCAACCAGGAGCCGCCCCTGAGTCGCTTGCACTGCCCGACGCTGCCAGTCCGGACGAGTCTCCGCGCTCTGGGGGGTATTCCGGCAGCAGAGGCGCGCGGAGGGGGTACTTCGGCGCAGCGGATGCTGGCGAGCGGGGCGGAGCGGGCGGGGGGCAGGGCGCGGAGATGCACGTGCGCGGGGGCGCGTCGGCGGAGCTGGCGGCGGCGGAGGCGGCGATAGAGGAGCTGCAGCGCGACTGCGTCAAGTACCAGACCACCGCGCGCAACCTCTCCCGCGAGGTCGAGAGCCTGCGCGGGCAGCTGGCGGAGGCGTTCGTGCAGGACCAGCGCGCGGACATGGCGATCGGGCAGCTGAAAGACGAGCGCGATCGGCTCCAGGAGGAGGTTAATATGCTGCGCGCGGGGCTGGGCGGGCGCGGGGGGGGCGGGGGGACGTTGTCCGGGGGTGCGAGGGAGGAGGAGGGGATGGATACGAACTCGTATGTGGCGGACGGGACGGAGAGCGAGTGGAGCGTGGGGGGAGGCGGGGGCGGGGGCGCGGAGGGGATGAGGCGCGTGGCGGGGCTGCTGGAGGAGGCGGAGTTCCTGCGCGGGACGGTGGGCGCGCTGTCCGCGCAGGTGGAGATGCTGCAGCGGGAGAACGAGGCGCTGATTGCGCAGGCGGAGCAGGCGGAGGCGGAGGCGGGGAAGTACCGGCGGGACGCGGAGGAGCTGTTTGAGGCGCGCCAGGAGACGGAGGCGGCGCTCAAGCGCGCGCAGAAGCAGGCGGACGAGCGCGAGGCGGAGTGGCAGGAGCGCGTGCGGGGCATGGCGGAGGCGCAGGCGGCGCTGGAGGAGCAGCTGGCGGAGCTGCAGGGCGCGGGGGGATGGGGCGGGGGAGGGTCCGCGCGGCCAAGCCCCCTGGGACCGAGGGGGAAGGGAGAAGGGCAGGAAGGGGTGGAGGACGGTCTAATGCTCTCAGAAACGGTGGGGATGAGCGGAAGCAGCAGGAAGAGCCGGGGAGGATCATTCGCGGAGGGCGAGGCGGGCGGAGAGGGCGAGCGCGGGGGAGCGGGAGCGGGAGCAGGGGAGGTGAGCGTGGTGGCGCAGCTGAGGCGGAAGGTGGAGGAGCTGGAGCGGGAGGCGCAGGAGTTGACCGCGGAGAGCCTGGAGCTAGCAGCGGGGCTTAACGTGGCGAATAAGGAGGGCGAAGTGAAGGACGCTCTGATAGAACAGCTGCAGCACGAGTTGATCGCCGCGGGGAAGAAGGATTCCATTGCCTCGGCTGCTGCTGCGTCCGGGTTTGCCGCGTTTTTTAGTAAAGGGAAGCCGGAGGAGAAGAAGAGCGTGGAGAGTTTGATTAACTCGGGGCCGGCTGCAAATGAGAGGGACGTTGGGAAGCTGCATGGAAGGATCGTGGAGCTGCTGCAGGCGCTGAAGGAGCAGAGTAGAGAGGCAGAGGAGGCGCGGGAGGAGGCGGTGCAGCTAAGGAGCAAGATGCGCGTTAGTGAGATGGCCACTGCGAGAGCCATGGATAGGCTGAGTATTCTGGAGGAGTATGAGCGGAGGGCGAAGCAGATGGAGGGGGAGTTGGAGGAGACAAGGAAGACGCTCGCGGCGCAGAGAAGGCTGAGGGAGGAGCAGGAGAGGCGGCATGTGGGGGAGGTGGAGCAGCTGAGGGAGGGGAAGAGGGACGCGGAGAACCGCGTGACGAGGTACGGGGAGGAGGTTCGGCGGCTGGAGCGGCAGGGGGAGGCGGCGGTGAAGCAGGTGGAGCAGGTGGGGGAGACGCTTCGGGAGTTTTTCACTGCGTGGGGTGGGGAGAAGGGGACGGGAGACGAAGGGGAGACGCTGGGGGAGCAGGCGGAGGGGAAGGACGTGGCGGGGAAGGTGGGGGTGGTGGTGGGGGCGGCGGCACAGTGGCAGAAGCGCGTGGGGGAGCTGGAGCGGGAGAGAGAGGCGCTAGAGGAGCAGGTGAGGGAGAGTGAAGCCCGTGTGCACGAGGTAGAGTCCACGTCCGGGGCATGGCGGTCGGATAGAGGCGCACTGGAGAAGCAGGTGAGGAGGTTAGATGAGCAGAGGCGACTGGCGGAGTCGAGGGTTCAGGAGCTGGAGTTGCAGCTGTCGGCCATGCAGGAGATGTTAGAGGAGGCCAAGGCGGAGGCGGGGGCGGCTGCTGCTGGGGGGGGGTTGGGTGGAGTGACGCTTGCTGACGTGGAGGCGCTGCAGGCGGCGAATCAGAAGGCGAGGAGGCGGATTCATGAGCTGGAGGGGCAGGTGAGGGGGCTGGAGGGGCAAGTGAGGGCATTAGAGGAGCAGGTGAGGGGGAAGGAGGCGGAATTAGAGGTCGCGCTGGCGGCGGTTGCTGCTGCCGCGGATTCAGCTGCAGCGGCGGCAGCGGCGGAAGCAGTGGGGAGGGCAGCGGCGGGCGGGGGAGCAGGAGCGGGGGCAGCGGGGGCTGGCGCGGGGAGGGCGGAGAGGGAGTTGGAGGACGCGCGGAGGCGGGTGGAGGGGTTGGAGGAGGAGATTAAACGCATGTCTGGTGAGCTGGCACTGGCAGGTGTGAGCCGGCGAGAGCTGGAGATGAAGGTGCTGCGGCTGGAAGGGGCGTGTGGGAAGCTGGAGAGTGAGTTGCAGGAGGCGAATGTGGGGCGGCGGCGCGCGGAGGAGAGGCAGGCGGACGCGGAGGCGCAGCTGGCAGTGGCGGTTGACAGGGCGGAGACGCAGAGGGGGCTGGTGGGGGAGCTAGAGGAGAAGGTGAGTAAGGGCGCTGCGAGGGAGGAGGCGTTGGAGCAGTATGTGGCTGTGGTTGAGGGGAAGGTGAAGGAGGGGGAGCGGGAGAGGGAGCGGTTGGAGGGGAAGGTGAGGGAGGAGCAGGAGAAGAGGAGGGAGGTGGAGAGGAGGGTTGGGGAGAGTGAGGCGGCTGTGGGGAGGGCGAGGGAGGAGGCGGAGAAGGAGGTGGGGGAGGCGAGACGGATGGTAGAGGAGATGGAGGCGAGATTGGAGGTGGGGGAAGCGGAGAGGGTGAGTGCGGTGGCGAGGGCTGTGAGGGCAGAGGAGGGGCAGAGGCGGGAGAAGGCTGAGCGGGAGGCGGCGGTTGAGCGGTTGACCAATGAGGTGGCGCTGCTGACTCAGCAGCTGTCGGCGTTATCTGAGGGGGGGAGTGGAGGGGAGGGCGGCGACAGGCTGTCTGCGGTTGAGGCCGCGGAGCTGCGAGCGGCGAAGGGCGAGCTAGAGGACAAGCTGCGCCGTGCGGAAGGGGATTTGCGGGAGGCGGTGAGGGAAAAGGTGAAGCTGGAAGGGGAAGTGCAGGCGGCGAAAGAATCAGCGGCAGAATTGAAGGTCAGGGAGGGGTCTCTTTTGGGAGAGGTGGAGGAGCTGAAGAAACAAGTGGCGGCGGCAGCAGAGGCAGCGGCTGAGTTGGTCCGAGTGAAGGAGCAGCACGAGCAGGTAACAGCACAGCTAGCCAAGGCGGAAGCTTCTGTGAAGGAGCTGCAGGTGGCGCGGGAGGAGCTGGAGCAGGAGCGCAAGGGGCTGGTGCAGCAGAGCGTGGTGCTGCAGGGCAAGGTGAAGGAGCTGGAGCGAGTCAAGGGCGAGTTGGCTCAGGCCAGGACTGAGCGACAGGTGCTGGAGGAGAGGAGGTTGGCTCTGGCGATGAAGCTGGCGAGGGTAGAGGAGAGTATGGAGGAGCTGGAGGATTTGCGGGCTAGGAGCGCGTCTGTGGAGGGGGAGATGGGGCACCTGGCGAAGCAGGCTGAGCAGGTTCCGGGGTTGCTGGAGGAACGGGAGAAGCTGCAGGGGCGGGTGAGGGAGCTGGAGGCTCGGGCCGCGGAGCTGGAGGCTCGGGTGGGTAAGATGGAGGCTGCTGCTGCTGCGGCTGTGGTGGTGGCGGCGGTAGTGGGTGGGGGTGAGAGTGAGGGGGATGGTGATGCAGGTGCTGCAGCGGCGGCGGCGACGGCAGCTGCGGCAGAAGCGGCAGTTGCGGCGGAGGCAGCGGCGGCGGCAGCGGCGGCGAAAGCAGAGGCGCTAGTGGAGGAGGTGCGGCAGCTGAAGCAGCAGAACTCCGAGCTCAAGCGCGCACTCACTGAGGGTAGCAGCAGCGGTGCTGGTGGTGCTGGTGGTGGGATGGAGCCTTCCCCCCAGGGGAAGGGCAGCAGGTCTTTGGGCGCAGGGGCGGGGGGCATGGGGGGGATGGGCGGCGGGGGAGCAGGGGGTGGCGCGTTCGCCCGCGGGCGGATGGGGGGGATCATGGCGTCGCGGGGGGGAGGGGGGGAGGCGGCGTTGGAGAGGCAGGTGGAGGAGCTGAGGAGGCGCACTGTGGCTTTGGAGGGCGAGGTGGGGCGCAAGGCAGAGGCGCTCGCTGCTGCTGAGAGAAGGCTGCTGGAGCTGGAGGGGAGTGGGGGGAGTGGGGGTGCAGGGGCGCGGGTGGGGGACATGGATGCCGCAGCAGAGGAGCGCATCAAGACTCTGGAGGTGAGCCATGCCCATTGAACTGCGCGAACCAGTTTTTCTGCTGATCACTGCTTCCACACTGGTTGCTTGCTTGTGTGTTAGCGCTGTGCAAGCACAGTTGAGTCACTCTCTGTAGTCCCAGTTGATGCGAACCACCCTGTCTGGTCCCAGTCAGCTTCCAACACACCCCGCACATAACCACAGTGAGTGACTCTTGTCCGTTGCTGATTTCTCACTCTCTTCCGTCCCTGCTCCCCTACCTACAGGTGCAGGTGGAGGTGTTACAGCAGCAGGTGGAGCAGCAGAGGCAACCTCTGAGTCGACTCAAGAGTGTGACTTGCCCATTCTTGTTCTTCCATGCTCTCCCATCCCTTTTCTTGTCCCTACAGGCGCAGGTGGAGGTGTTACAGCAGCAGGTGGAGCAGCAGAGGGCGGTGGCGGAGGCGAGGGAGGGCAGCATGGGGGAGTACGTGGCTCTGCTCACCGCCACCAACGATTCTCTCGCTGCCGGCACCGACGCTGCCACCATGCAGCTCAACCAAGCGGTGAGTGCCGCACCATGCGTGTTCTCATCACGTTGATCCTATGCATATGCTCTCATCACAGAGTCCTTTGTGTGTTCTCATGCAAGGGGGACCCGCACGTCACCCCTCACGTGCATGCTGGACCTCACAGCATCACACGTCACTGATTGCAGTGCCACTGCTGCGCTGATCCCACTCTGTAATCCCGCGTCTGTCTTCCCTGTCTTCTGAGGCGACCGGAAACTCATCTCACGTTCTTTTCCCTGTGCACTCCATGCCACTCTCCCTTCCACACCATTCCCCTGCAATGCAGCTGCTGAAGGCGCAGCAGCAGGTGGGCGAGGTGAGGGAGAGGGAGGCGGAGCTGAGGGCAGCAGCGGCGGTGCACGATGCCACCATCCTGGAGCTCAAGGAGGTGCGTCGCAGTGCTCAGTGCTGAGTGTGCTCAGTACTTGATGTGTGTGCACAAGGTGCAGCCTCACAATGGCACCATGGCACCTGCTTGATGCTCTAGTGCTGCACGACGCCACCATCCTGCAGCTCAAGGAGGTGCGTGCTCAGTGCTTGGTGCTTGGTGCTCAGTGCTTGGTGCTTGGTGCTCAGTGCTTGGTGCTTGGTGCTCAGTGCTTGGTGCTTGGTGCTCAGTGCTTGGTGCTTAGTGCTCAGTGCTTGGTGCTTAGTGCTCAGTGCTTGGTGCTCAGTGCTTGGTGCTTGGTGCTCAGTGCTTGGTGCTTGGTGCTCAGTGCTTGGTGCTTGGTGCTCAGTGCTTGGTGCTTAGTGCTCAGTGCTTGGTGCTTAGTGCTCAGTGCTTGGTGCTCAGTGCTTGGTGCTTGGTGCTCAGTGCTTGGTGCTTGGTGCTCAGTGCTTGGTGCTTGGTGCTCAGTGCTTGGTGCTTAGTGCTCAGTGCTTGGTGCTTAGTGCTCAGTGCTTGGTGCTTGGTGCTCAGTGCTCAGTGCTTGGTGCTCAGTGCTTGGTGCTTGGTGCTCAGTGCTTGGTGCTCAGTGCTTGGTGCTTGGTGCTCAGTGCTTGGTGCTTGGTGCTCAGTGCTTGGTGCTTAGTGCTCAGTGCTTGGTGCTTAGTGCTCAGTGCTTGGTGCTCAGTGCTTGGTGCTTGGTGCTCAGTGCTTGGTGCTTGGTGCTCAGTGCTTGGTGCTTGGTGCTCAGTGCTTGGTGCTTAGTGCTCAGTGCTTGGTGCTCAGTGCTTGGTGCTTGGTGCTCAGTGCTTGGTGCTTGGTGCTCAGTGCTTGGTGCTTGGTGCTCAGTGCTTGGTGCTTAGTGCTCAGTGCTTGGTGCTTGGTGCTCAGTGCTTGGTGCTTGGTGCTCAGTGCTTGGTGCTTGGTGCTCAGTGCTTGGTGCTTGGTGCTCAGTGCTTGGTGCTTAGTGCTCAGTGCTTGGTGCTTAGTGCTCAGTGCTTGGTGCTCAGTGCTTGGTGCTTGGTGCTCAGTGCTTGGTGCTTGGTGCTCAGTGCTTGGTGCTTGGTGCTCAGTGCTTGGTGCTTAGTGCTCAGTGCTTGGTGCTTAGTGCTCAGTGCTTGGTGCTCAGTGCTTGGTGCTTGGTGCTCAGTGCTTGGTGCTTGGTGCTCAGTGCTTGGTGCTTGGTGCTCAGTGCTTGGTGCTTGGTGCTCAGTGCTTGGTGCTCAGTGCTTGGTGCTTGGTGCTCAGTGCTTGGTGCTTGGTGCTCAGTGCTTGGTGCTTGGTGCTCAGTGCTTGGTGCTTGGTGCTCAGTGCTTGGTGCTTAGTGCTCAGTGCTTGGTGCTTGGTGCTCAGTGCTTGGTGCTTGGTGCTCAGTGCTTGGTGCTTGGTGCTCAGTGCTCAGTGCTTGGTGCTCAGTGCTTGGTGCTTGGTGCTCAGTGCTTGGTGCTCAGTGCTTGGTGCTTGGTGCTCAGTGCTTGGTGCTTGGTGCTCAGTGCTTGGTGCTTAGTGCTCAGTGCTTGGTGCTCAGTGCTTGGTGCTTGGTGCTCAGTGCTTGGTGCTTGGTGCTCAGTGCTTGGTGCTTGGTGCTCAGTGCTTGGTGCTTGGTGCTCAGTGCTTGGTGCTTGGTGCTCAGTGCTTGGTGCTTAGTGCTCAGTGCTTGGTGCTTAGTGCTCAGTGCTTGGTGCTTAGTGCTCAGTGCTTGGTGCTTAGTGCTCAGTGCTTGGTGCTTAGTGCTCAGTGCTTGGTGCTTAGTGCTCAGTGCTTGGTGCTTAGTGCTCAGTGCTTGGTGCTTAGTGCTCAGTGCTTGGTGCTCAGTGCTTGGTGCTTAGTGCTCAGTGCTTGGTGCTTAGTGCTCAGTGCTTGGTGCTTAGTGCTCAGTGCTTGGTGCTTAGTGCTCAGTGCTTGGTGCTTAGTGCTCAGTGCTTGGTGCTCAGTGCTTGGTGCTTAGTGCTCAGTGCTTGGTGCTTAGTGCTCAGTGCTTGGTGCTTAGTGCTCAGTGCTTGGTGCTTAGTGCTCAGTGCTTGGTGCTTAGTGCTCAGTGCTTGGTGCTTAGTGCTCAGTGCTTGGTGCTTAGTGCTCAGTGCTTGGTGCTTAGTGCTCAGTGCTTGGTGCTTAGTGCTCAGTGCTTGGTGCTTAGTGCTCAGTGCTTGGTGCTTAGTGCTCAGTGCTTGGTGCTTAGTGCTCAGTGCTTGGTGCTTAGTGCTCAGTGCTTGGTGCTTGGTGCTCAGTGCTTGGTGCTTGGTGCTCAGTGCTTGGTGCTTGGTGCTCAGTGCTTGGTGCTTAGTGCTCAGTGCTTGGTGCTTAGTGCTCAGTGCTTGGTGCTTGGTGCTCAGTGCTTGGTGCTTGGTGCTCAGTGCTTGGTGCTTAGTGCTCAGTGCTCTACCCATTCTTCCTCCACTGCCCTCCCTAACCGTTCAATCGGTCACAGGAGGTGGGGCGGCTGCAGAAGAAGCTGTCGCAGCGCATGCGGGGGGGAGGCAGCGTGGCGGGGGGGAGTGGCATGGTGGAGCGCATGGCTCTGCTGGAGGCAGAGCTGGCCGAGGCCATGGAGAGCAACCACAAGTACAAGGAGCAGCTCAAGCGGTGCGTGCGTGCTCAGTGCTCATTGCTTGGTGCTCAGTGCTCAGTGCTCAAGAGGTAGGCCATGGAGAGCAACCACAAGTACAAGGAGCAGCTCAAGAGGTGCGTGCGTGCTCATTGCTCCGTGCTTAGTGCTCGGTTCTCAGTGCTCGGTGCTCAGTGCTCAAGAGGTAGGCCATAGAGAGCAACCACAAGTACAAGGAGCAGCTCAAGAGGTGCGTTCGTGGCGAGAATTCCAAGGATGTGGTGTAGATTTTTTCATTCAAGGACGGTGGCTTGGGTGCATCGTTGGAGCCCCGTGTGGTAGGTGGGTGTGTGGACATGCTCTCTCAGGTGTTTCAGCTGTTTCCAGTTTCAGGTGTGTAGTGAGCAGGCTTTGATAGATTTCTCGTCGCTTGTTTTTTCTGCCTGCCCCTTCTGAACCCCACTGCCTGTCACCCAGGGCCTTGGGTGGGACGGGGAATGGAGTCGACACTCAACCAGCTGAAGCTCCTGCTACTGCACCAATCCCAGCCAGCCCTACCAAGCCTGCCGCACCTGCTGCCCTGGGGAATGATGCAGAAAGGTCGCCTCAGATGAAGGGCAGAGCAGTCAGCAGCAGCCCCATGAGTGGTGCTGGCAGTCCCATGATGGCAGGAGGTAGAAGACTCGGGACTGCCTCCCCTGCCGCCAAGCCAAGCCCATTTGGACGGAGATAATGGGACCTTTTTAGGTTAGTGTAAATCCTAGAGGCGTTTTAACTTCACTCTGACAAACGAGGGTAGCTAGATCCCTGAATGTATGTTGTGTTTTGCCTGTGCAAGGCCATATTTTGTGTAGGGGTAGATGATGGACTGCAATATTGTGCCATCATTGTCAGCACATTCAAGCACACATGAAGCGTGTATCCTCAACTCAAACACAATACGGTTCTTGAACCGTGTTTTACCAGATTAAACCGCCAGAATTACAGCGTTTGAAAAGCCAATTTTCGGCTGAGGCGACGCGCCCTGAAGCCAGAATACCAGCCAATAGGATGGAGCCCACCAATCTGTGTTATTGTGAGCGATTCCTTCGTCAACAAACATTCTGGCGAATTAAATGTTGAACATCGATCCGCACCCAAGATCTTCTCGCTAACGATTTCAGGCCTGTTACCCTATTGTACAAGTTCCGATCGCGTCCGTGACAGCACTGCATGACCAGAATCGTGCACGCTTCGGTGTTGGCGCGAAAAAAACCATCGTTGGGGCTCACCCTGATGAAAGCAACGTCCAAAAGATAAGACGATCACATAGCAGGAGTAGCGGTTATATCATATGTATTAATTACAATAAAGCAACGTCCGTTCATTTACTCGACTCTCTTTCCCTTGCATTGATACAGCACTCGTTTTTTCCGGCACAGACCTGGAAACTCGACTCGGATTGACCGATAATCATCTGGCGACATACATCGCGAGTGTGACGCTGCTCGTGATTAGGATACACCTCGCAAGGGAAGAACGCGGAACGGGATGAATGTGAGGGGAAAAGCTACCGATGCAGGCGAGCAGTTGGCGGAGGATGTACAAGTGGAGGAAGAGGAGGCTGCGAAAAGGGAGGAGGAAGGAGCAGGGCAGGGACCGTCCATGGCCGTTCCTCCGAGTGCGAAGCGATCGAAACGAGAAGAGCTCCCAGCAGTGGCGCGCCGAGCCGTCGACACCGTGACGGAGATTCGATACGGTGACTTAGACGCGCTACCCGCAGACGTGTGGCTGCACATCGCAAATGAGGTCGTGGAGAGAGACGACTGCAGCTGCTCGTGGCCGCTCGTGTCGTGCGCCATCGCCATGCCGTGCACGCGACGCGCACTATCGGGGGACGTGCCTCTCGTGTTCTACGAAAAGTGCGAGTGCGTCCCCTCTGCCGTCTCCCTCGCTCAACAAATCCGCAGCTTCGCATGGCTGACGAAGCAGCTCCAAAGCCCTTCGGACTTCATCTTCTCAATCCATGAATCGCCTCCCCGCCTCCTTTCCTCCCTCATGCGCTCCTGCCTCTTCCCCTCCCTCTCCTCCATCACTTCCCTCGATCTCTACTTTTCCCAGAGCCTCCCCTCCCATCCGCGCCTTCTCTTCTCCCTCTCGCAAGCGCCGCGCCTCAAGTTGCTTTCTATTACGCATGACGTTGCGTCGGACAGCGAGAATGACATGCCTCGGCCCCTCGGCAATGATCCCGTGATGGTGGCGGAAATGTGGGAAATAGTTTCAATCATGGAAGAGAAAAAGGCGAGTGACAAGGACAGGTCGTTTCCCGTGCTGCGCCACTTCAAACTCGACCTCCCCGCCTGCTCGCCTCTCGTTCTGCGCTTCGTCTCCTGCATCTCTTTACAGCTGGACTATCTCTCTCTCGGCGGTAAAAATCAGTTCGCGGCTCACGAGGGCGAAGAGGAGGCTGAGAGGGGTGAGAACGCGGAAGGGCCAAGGGGGCGTGAGAGGGATGTTGACGGGCGAGGCTCCTTAACTCTTCACCTCCCGCAAGCCACGAATGCTCGATTCCACGGGATCAGCTGCTCCATTTCCCTCTCCGCCCCGCGTCTTTCCGACCTCTGCGTGCTCTGGAAGTCTCCCCATTTCCGCCTGCTCCTGCTCCCCACATGCCCCGCGCACCTGCCGTCTCTCTTCCTTAGCTCGGACGGACCCTGCGAGTGGCCATTGCAAGCACCTCACCTCACGTCGTTGGAATCCCTCTGCACCAACATGCAGCCTGAGCGGGCTGCTTGTTTCCCTCCCGGTGTTATTGCGACAGTCAAGGCGCTTGAGTGGAGATACGTCAAGGTTTCGCGGCCGGTGGACTTGCGTGCTTGGCACGGCCTGCGTTGCTTCCATGCCATGGGATGGGACCCTGTGTCTCTGTGGTTGCTTCGCTTTGGCGTGCACTGGCCTTGTGGCGTGGAGGGACTGTTCTTCGATCACATTGGGAGCGACGTTGTGGAAGTTCTCAGCAGTGAGCTGAGAGAAGGTTTGAGGCATGGAAGGGAGAGCATGTCGAGCAGCCGAGATGACATAGGCCTCGGGACAGTGGAAGGTGGGCCTGAGGAGGACGGAAGCAGGGATCTGGTTCAGGCTAATGGTAGGAATCTACTGGCTCGACTGCTACCTGAATGCAATGGATTACAGCGGTTTGAGGGGTGGGGCAATGATGATCGTGTGCTGTATAGGCTGGATGCTGCTGAAGGGCTGCTTAGGAAAATGTATGGAAGCACAGGAGGAGTGTGTTGGGCAAACAAAAGTAGGTTTCTAAAAGCGAGAGGGATCGTTGTAGATTAGGTGTGCTGGACTCTGCGTGTAGATTGTGGAAAAATGCAATAAATAGTGGTGTGTACCGGTTGTGAAGAGTAGATTTGAAGTCATAGTAGGTATGTTACCAGCATAAAAATTCGTGTGTCCGTTTATTGTTTCACTACAGTGAATGTTGTATGTGTTCCTAGAGCGGGGGGTAAATACAATCACACCGACCTGGTGAAAGGCCACCGCGAGTCGCATCGCACTGACACAGCAACCCAACCAGCCTCCCTCGCAATCGCACTGACAGTGCCTGACATACACAGCATAAGGATAGCGGGCAAACTTCACAACCTCTCGGCCGGGCCGGGGGGCAGAGGACACACTTCCTCGCCATTTGAAACAAATCATCTTCTCACCTCGCTCCTACTGTTTGAAGAACCTCAGCTGTCATACCTACCTATCAAGCGGGAGGGGATCTCTTTTCAAGCAGACGTAGATGAATCAGGAAAATCGACCCCTTATGAACGATAGTTAATTGGCAATAAGCATCGCGGCTGGTGGCGCGGATTCGCTAGCGGGAAAAACAGCACGAATCGGAATGACGACGAGGGGGAGATCTAGTGTATGTGAGCAGTTGGTCGAAAGAGTAGAAGAGGAGGGAGAGGCGGCTGAGCAAGGGGAGGAGGAGGGGCGAGCAGCGGAGGAGCCGTCCATTGTTCCCTCTTCCCGCGCGAAGCGATCGAAACGCGGGGTGCACGCAGCAGTGTCGCAGCGAACCCTCGATAGCCAGCCCGAGGCGGAGATTCGATACGGTGACCTCAACGCGCTACCCATGGACGTGTGGCGATGCATCGCAAACGCGGTCGCGAACTCAAACAGAGGAAAGTGCTTCTGCTCGTGGCCGCTCGTGTCGTGCGCCATCGCCATGCCGTGCATTCGCCGCGCTCTATCAGGCGACGTGGCTCTCATGTTCTACGAGAAGTGCCCGTGCTCAACTCCCCCCATCTCCCTCGCGCAACGAATCCGCAGCTTCGCATGGCTGACAAAACAGCACCCGCGTCTCTCCGAGCTTTACGTCTCCCTCGATACTTCACCCCCCCGGCTCTTCTGCTCCCTTTTACACTCCTGCGTCTTCCCTTACCTCTCTTCCCTCACCTCTCTCACTATCGACTTCTCCCGACGCCTCCCCTCCCCTCCACGCCTTCTCTTCTCCCTCTCTCAAGCGCCGCGCCTTAAGTTGCTTTCTCTTACTCATGGCACCGTGCGGACAGACAGCAAGCATGAGTTGGCGCGGCACGGTTGCAATGATGCAGTGCTGGTGGCCGAAATGTGGGAAATCATTACAATCATGGAAAGGAAGCCGGAGAGCAAGGAGAAGCTATTTCCGGTGCTGTCTCGCCTCGATCTCTCTCTCCCCGCCTGCTCGCCTCTCGTCCTCCGCTTCGTCTCCTGCCTCTCTGCCCAGCTTCAAACACTCTACCTCGTCGCTTCTGCGGAACAATTTGCAGCCCAGGAGGGGAATGAAGGCGCCGAAAGTGGTACGGAGAACGCGGACGGGTGGAGGGGGCGTGAGAGGGGCATTGACGGAAGAAAATCCTTTTCTCTTCACCTCCCGCTGGCCACCAACGTCAGATTCGACAGTATTAACTGCTCCATTTCGCTGTCCGCCCCTCGTCTCTCCGTCCTCAGCTTTATTTGGCGCTCACGCCATGCCCATCTGCTCCTGCTCCCCACGTGCCCCGCGCACCTGACATCTCTCTACCTTGACACCGACTGGACCTGCGAGTGGGCGTTTCACGCACCTCACCTAACCTCGCTTGATTCCCTCTGCACCAACATGGAGTCAGAGAAGGCGGCATGCTTCCCTCCCAGTTTGATAGCGACCGTCAAGGCCCTTGAGTGGAGGGATGAAACATCGCTGGACTTGAGTGCTTGGCAGGGCCTGCGTTGTTTCCACGCTGTAGGCTGGCCCCCTGTAACTCTTGCAGATCTGGATTGGGGTGTGATCTGGCCTTGTGGCCTGGAGGAGTTGTTCTTCAACAGCATTGGCCCCGATGTTGTGGGACTGTTTGAGAATCGGCTGGGAGGGGGCGATGGCGGAGAAAGCCTGGAAAGGAGGAAGCATGGAAGAGATGAGATGGTCTTGGTGACAGGAGGAGGTTTGACGTTGGGTAAGGAGGACACGCCTGTGGAAAATGTAACTGAAGACCAGACAAACGGGAGAAGACTATTGGCTCAACTGCTACCTGGATGCAAGAGCCTGCAGCGGTTTGAGGGGTGGGACGACGATGCATGTGTACTGTATAGGTTGGATGCTGCTGAGGGGCTGAGTAGGGAAGTGGGTGGGAATCCAGGGGATGGATGGACAAAGACTTTCCATAACAAAAGAAAGTATGCGAAAGCTAGAGGGATAATGGATTAAGAGCACTGAACTGAAGTAGGTACCGGTAATTTATCGTGCTGTTTGTGGTCAGACTGTTTGAAGGAGAATTGGAACATGTGACAGATTGATTTGCAAGCGTATGTTATCCTGAAGGTGTCCTGAATCTAGTGTTCTTTCACTGTAAATAGTACATGCACTGCAAATAATCTCCACAAACACAGTTTGGCACAACACACAAAGCTATCATGTGAGTGTTGCTATCATGTGGCACCCAGAATACAATGCACGCACCATGCATTCAAGGTTCCTCAAACCAAGTGAACATACTGTAGTATGATGCTGTACAACTGATGTGCAAAAGCATTGATTCGACAGTTTACGTCGGATGGGTTGCGTAGAGTTGTATCCTCGTACAAGAAACATTATGATGGAGAATATAAAAAAGTACTGATGTAAATCAAATAACACTGTTGGTTTTATTTAGTTAAAATGGGATAAAGTTCATCATTACTAGTTAAAAAATACAGCAGATACCGTATGTAGATTATTTGACAGAGAACTATTTGGACATTAGATGTTTTCTGTGTTTAGAATAGACGATATTTTTTACATCCATCTTACTTTATTAGACTTGCTTTTCACTATAGTGGGTATTTGCTTTGTGCTTTGTTTTTGTCTCTTCCTGTTTCTGCCTGCTTGTTACTGCTTCGTCATCATCGAGTGCAAAATTGCGTGGAGGGTTTTCGGAGCGCACTGAACCACGTGGCACTGTCTAGATCTGAAATATCTCAGATTGAGTACATTTTCAACAATGGGAGTTTTTGTTCAGTCTCGTTCTTTGTGAGCCCTACCAGGTTACAAACTACAACCTAGCCACCGCTATTTTCAACTTCCCACCTTGGCACTGTTCCCGATTTTCATATAAACCCTGCCCAGCTTTCGGGGTTTTCTGTTAGAAACCTCGGTATGGGGGACTACGAATGACGTCAAATGCTGGACGCTGGAGATTTTAATCGGGCGAGTGTAAGACAATTTCCGCTCGTGTGGAGTCTGCTTCCTGTTGCGCATCCCATTGCGCAGCTTTCAGGAGTCAGGAACTAACTCTGCGTAGAGCGTATGACGTCCGACACAACCCTTGGTAAAAAATGTTTGAGGGGTGCATACCCCTTTGCGCACGTGGGGGTTGAAAATAGACCGAAAGAAAATAGCGGTGGTTAGGTGTAAATCATTGCAATTGATCTCGGAGTTTCGTGTGGTTCTACGGCTATAGTGTAATTTCAAGAACATCATAAGCTATAGTGACAGCTCAACAATACAGTCACCTTAGCAAAGTTATAAGCAAATCGGCTCAAAACATTTTGCACTCTTGTAATGAGAAGCAGTGTACTTTTTCCTTTCACACCTGTCTGCTCGAATTCGACTCTCGTCTCTCTTCGTTCTTGTTTCTTGGTTCTTGGTTCTTGCTTCTTGCTTCTTGGTTCTTGGTTCTTGCTTCTTGCTTCTCCCTCCAAATCCGCCCATTCCCAACCAATCCTGCAGTCGCGCCTTACCTACCGTCTAGCTATCCCTCTCACCCCGCCGTCGCGCTCTCTCCCACTCCGCCATCGTGCCTCTCTCCCTCCTAGCCGCCGTCGCTGCTCCCTCCTGTATCCCGCCCGTCGCCTCTCCCTCCTCCCCGCCGTCGCCTCTCCCTCCTCCCCGCCGTCGCCTCTCCCTCCTCCCCGCCGTCGCCTCTCCCTCCTCCCCGCCGTCGCCTCTCCCTCCTCCCCACCGTCGCCTCTCCCTCCTCCCCGCCGTCGCCTCTCCCTCCTCCCAGTCGTCGCCTCACCCTCCTCCCAATCGTCGCCTCTCCTTCCTCCCCACCGTCGCCTCTTCCCCCTCGCCGCCGTTGCCGCTCCCTTCTCCCCGCCGTCGCCTATCCCTCCTCCGCGCCGTCGCCTATCCCTCCTCCCCGCCGTCGCCTATCCCTCCTCCCCGCCGTCGCCTATCCCTCCTCCTCGCCGTCGCCTCTCCGTCCTCCCCGCGGTCGCCTCTCCCCACTCCCCGCCGTTGCCTCTCCTTCCCTCTCCGCCGTCTCCTCCGACGACAGGTGCACGAGCGCAAGCGCGGGTTGGAGCGCAAGCGCGGGTTGGAGCGCAAGCGCGGGTTGGTGCGCGAGCGCGGGTCGGTGCGCGAGCGCGGGTCGGTGCGCGAGCGCGGGCTGTTTTCTCAGGCACCGTGGTTATCAGGTGCGTTCCCGGTCCTTCCATCCTCCCTCCCCCCCTCTGGAATTTCCGTTTTGTTTTGTTTGTTTGTTTGTTTTTTTTTTCTTTTTCTTTTTCTTTTTCTTTCTTTTCTTCTTCTTCGTCTACTTCTTCCCTTTTCTGTGTGCCGATAGCTCTCCTCTTGCATGGCACTTTCAAAAGAGATGTAGCGCGAGGGAGAGCGTATGCGCATGAGAGAGCGTTTGAGAGAGCGCGTGAAGGAGCGCGTGAGAGAGCGCGTGAGAGAGCGCGTGAGAGAGCGCGTGAGAGAGCGCGTGAGAGAGCACATGAGACAGCGCGTGTGAGAGCGCATGAGAGAGTGCGTGAGAGAGCGCGTGTGAGTGCGCGTGAGAGCGTGAGGGAGGGAATGCATGTGAGCACGTGAGGGAGCGCGTGAGAGAGAGAATGTGGTGAGAGTGCGCGAGAGAGAGCGCAAGTGACAGTGCGTGAGAGGGTGCCTGAGAGTGCGCCTTGAGAGAGCGCGAGAGAGAGCGCGTGAGGGAGCGCATGAGAGGGCGCGTGAGAGAGCGTGAGAGAGCGCGTGAGAGCGCGTGAGAGAGCGCATGAGAGAGCGCGTGAGAGAGCGCGCGTGAGAATGCGCGTGAGAGCGCGTGAGAGAGCGCGTGAGAGAGCGCGTGAGAGAGCGCGCGTGAGAGCGCGTGAGAGAGCGCGTGAGAGAGCGCGTGAGAGAGCGCGTGAGAGAGCGCGTGTGAGGGTGCGCGTGAGAGAGCGTGTGAGAGAGAGAATGTGTGTGAGAGTGCGCGAGAGAAAGCATGCGAGAGGGAGAATGCGCGTGAGAGTGCGGGAGAGAGCGCGTGAGAGTGCGCCTGGGAGTGCGCCTGAGAGTGCGCCTTGATAGAGCGCGTGAGACAGCGCATGAGAGAGCGTGTGAGAGAGCGCGTGTGAGCGCGTGAGAGAGCGCGTGTGAGAGCGCGGGAGAGAGCGCGTGTGAGAGTGCGTGAGAATGCGTGTGAGAGTGCGTGAGAGAGCGCGTGTGAGGGTGCACGTGAGAGAGCGTGTGAGAGAGAGAATGTACGTGAGAGTGCGCGAGAGAAAGCATGTGAGAGGGAGAATGCGCGTGAGAGTGCGGGAGAGAGCGCGTGAGAGTGCGGGAGAGAGCGCGTGAGAGTGCGCCTGAGAGTGCGCCTGAGAGTGCGCCTTGATAGAGCGCGTGAGACAGCGCATGAGAGAGCGTGTGAGAGAGCGCGTGTGAGCGCGTGAGAGAGCGCGTGTGAGAGCGCGTGAGAGAGCGCATGTGAGAGCGCGTGAGAGAGCGTATGAGGGAGCTTGTGAGGGTGTGCGTGAGAGCGTGTGAGAGAGAAAGTGCGTGAGAGTGCGCGAGAGAAAGCACGTGAGAGAGAGAATGCGTGTGAGATGCTGGAGAGGGAGCGCGCGAGAGAGTGCGTGAGAGTGCGCCTGAGAGTGCGCCTTGAGAGAGCGGGTGAGAGAGTGCGTGAGGGGGCGCATGAGAGGGCGCGTGAGAGAGCGCGTGAGAGAGCGCGTGAGAGAGCGCGTGAGAGAGCATCCCAGAGATTTCGCTAGAGAGCGCGTGAGAGTGCGAGTGAGAGTGCGCATGAGAGAGCGCATGAGAGACCGCATGAGCATGATGGGGCGTAGGCACTAGTATCTATTCTGCTGGTGCTTGGGAAACTGGGGCTATTTATGCAAATGAGTGTCCGCTTTCTGCACTAGCGCTTAGAGTGCCGGTTTCTAAGGTGTTGGCGCCTCAGACTCTCGTCTAGGCCGCTGGCAACTAGCAAGCTAGTGCCTAGCACGCTCGCGCAGGGAGCTCTAATACTCGTGTGAGTGTTGACTCCTCTGTTTTTGCTTGTGCAGGGCGTGTGTGGACTTCTCTGATTTTGCTTTGTGCAGGGCGTGTGTGTGTTGACTTCTCTGTTTTTGCTTTGTGCAGGGCGCGTGTGTGCTAACTTCTCTGTTTTTGGTTTGTGCAGGGCACGTGTGTTCTAACACTCATGTTTTTGCTCTGTGCAGGCCGCGTGTGTGTTGACTTCTCTGTTTTTGCTTTGTGCAGGGCGTGTGTGTGTTGACTTCTCTGATTTTGCTTTGTGCAGGGCGTGTGTGTGTTGACTTCTCTGCTTTTGCTTCGTGCAGGGCGCGTGTGTGTTGACTTCTCTGATTTTGCTTTGTGCAGGGCGTGTGTGTGTTGACTAATCTGATTTTGCTTTGTGCAAGGCGCATCAGCTGAGAAGGGAGATTCGGGAGGGAGTGGGTTGGAGATGGGAGGAGGAGCGGGGGTTGTAGGGAGGGGAAGGTGGGATAGGCTAGCAATCTTTTCTGCATTTCTGAACTTTATTCATGACGGTTGCGTCTTTACTACGGTCTCTGTATCTATCTGTGGTTGTTTGTGTGTGTGTGTCAGCGTGTGCTGTGCATGTGCTTAATGCGTCTGTATACGTGCTTGTGTGAGCCTGTGTGAGATATGTACCGTATGTTTGTCTGTTTGCACCTGTCTGTCTCGGGGCGTGTGCTAAAGTGCCTCGTATATGCAACTGATGTGTGATGTTAGAGTGTGTCGGGTCTGCATTTGAGGTGGGGATCGTTGTTGGGGCAGCGTTGCTCGCCTTAGCATATTGGAACCACCTCTGCTGTAGCACCGATGCATTTTAGCATTCACTCGCAGTTACTTGTGTTGTTTTTGCACGTGTTAAGCAACTGAGGTGTGATGTTAGAGTGTGTCGGGTCTGCATTGGAGGTGGGGATCGTTGTTGGGGCAGCGTTGCTCTGTCAGAACATATGCATATTAGTATCTAGGCTATATTGGGGCTAGCCTTAGAGGGTACAGAAACATTCTCGACACTCTAGTCTTGTACCCCAACCTTGACCTAATCTCACACAACTTCATGCCTAAGATTCTAAGATGGTATCTAGAGCCTAGAGGTCTCTAGGACCTAAGATAAGGGCCCACCGTTACCACGTTACCTCACCTGCCTTGCCTGCTGCCCGCGCGCGCCTCGGCTGCACGCGCGCGGCCCCTTTTTTTTTTTTTCCCCGCGCGCGCCGCTTGAGCAGCCCGCGCGCTCTTCGTTTAGGCCCGTTTAGGCCCGTTTTCGGCCCCGCGCGCCACGTCAGCCGCCCGCGCAGCCTGCCGCCGGCCAGCGCGTCGCGTAAGCCGCCCGCGCACAGCCCGTTTTCCTCAGCGCGCGGCCCGCTAGCCGCTCGCGCCGTCGTCGCCGCCCGCGCGCAGCCTGATCTGGCCTCGCGCGGCACTTAGCGCGGCTCCCTAGCCGCTCGTCGACCGCCGCGCGCCGCCACCGCGTCCCCTTCGGCCGCCGCCTGTGGCTCTTTCGCCACCTTTCGCCAGGCAATCGCGCAGCCCGTACAGGCCACGTCAGGCCCGCGCGCGGCCGGAACAGCCCACGCCAGGCCTGCACGCTGCACTGCGCCTGTGCTGCTGCTTTCTGCCGCTGCTGCTACTTGCTGCAGCTGCTTCTACTTGCTGCCACTGCTGCTACTTGCTGCAGCTGCTGCTACTTGCTGCCACTGCTGCTACTTGCTGCAGCTGCTGCTACTTGCTTGTTGTAGGAGCAGCCGCCCCTGCAGCAGCCGCCCCTGCCCCTGGAGCAGCCGCCCCTGCAGCAGCCGCCCCTGGCCACTGGAGCAGCCGCCTCTGCAGCAGCCGCCCCTGGCCCCTGGAGCAGCCGCCCCTGCAGCTGCCGCCCCTGGCCACTGGAGCAGCCGCCCCTGCAGCAGCCGCCTCTGGACCTCTGCAGCCGCCCATGGCCCCTGGAGCAGCCGCCCCTGGAGCAGCCGCCCCTGGAGCAGCTGCCCCCTGCAGCTGCCGAGGAGCCCTCGCCCTGCAGTGGTGCCGGCCTTGCCGTTGCCACCGTCGTACGCCTGCCCTTCTTGCCACTGCCGCCCCTGCAGCAGCCGCCCCTGCCCCTGGCCCCTGGAGCAGCCGCCCCTGGCCCCTGCAGCAGCCGCCCCTGGAGCAGCCGCCCCTGGCCCCTGGAGCAGCCGCCCCTGCAGCAGCCGCCCCTGCAGCAGCCGCCCCTGGTCCCTGGAGCAGCCGCCCCTGCAGCAGCCGCCCCTGGCCCCTGCAGCAGCCGCCCCTGGAGCAGCCGCCCCTGCAGCAGCCGCCCCTGGAGCAGCCGCCACCTGCAGCTGCCGCGGAGCCCTCGCCCTACAGCCTCGCCGTTGCCGCCGTTGTACGCCGGCCCTTCTTGCCACTGGTGAGCACTGTCCTGCCCGTACTGCTGTTACTACTGCTCCTGCTGCTGCTGCTCTTTCTCCTGCTACTGCTGCTCGTGCTGCTCCTACGGCTACTGCGCTTTCTACTGCTACTGCTGCTCCTGACGTGGCCGGATGCAGCTCCAGCGCCGTCCGCGTGAGTCCCTCACGCCCCCAAAGCTTCATGAGTGGTACGCTCGTTGGGGTTGTCGGGGTGGCCGTAGTGGGAGTCGTTCTGGCGTGAGTAGTTTCGGGGCTTCTTGTAGTGGCCAGGTGCAGCTGCAGCGTCGTGTGCGCGCGGTCCCTTCGCCCCCGCAGCTTCATGAGTGGTACTTTCAGCGGGGGGGGTCACGGGGTTCTGCTCGCTGCCCGTACGTCATTCGCACTGGTGCTCGGACTGGCCAGCCTTGCGGGACGTTTGGTCACACAGAGTCCCGCTGCTTCGCCAGTCTGAGCGACGCCTGGCGTACAGAGTTTGGCGACGCGGCTGAGCTCCCCGACTGGGTGGAGCTGCTCCGGCAGAGGGTAGATATCTATGCTCTTGACTATGATGCTATCCTCACTGCCATGTATGCATTGCCTACTAGTGCTGACGGTGACTGTTACCTGAGTGTTCCGCCCGACCAGGACGGTGCAGCTGCTGCTCTAGGTGCTAGTGAGTCTGCTGCTCCAGGTGCTGGTGAGTCTGCTCTCTCAGGTACCATGTCTGCAACGGCGTCGCACACTTTCACCCTTGACTCGGGTGCTTCCCGCTCCTTTCGAGACCGCACCACTCTCACGCCGCTCAGTCGGCCGGTTGCGGTCTCCCTGGCAGACCCCTCTGGGGGTCCTGTCCTTGCTCACTACTCCACTGTCCTGCCGTGTCCAGCGGTCCCGTCTGGCTCCCTGTCCGGTCTTTACCTCCCCTCGTTCTCTACGAACTTGGTGGCGGGTGCTGATCTACAGGATGGGGGGGTTGACCAGTTCACCCCTGCGCGTCAGCGGGTGACCCACTGCACGTGTGCAGACACGGGCCGACACTTGGCCACGTTTACCCGTCGGCCGGGGTCGAGCCTGTACACCCTCACTACCGAGTCTCCTCCGGTTGCTGTGCCTGGTCAGGTAGCTGCGTCGGGTCAGGTGTTTGCTGCGGCGTCTCGGTCTGGTCCTGAGTCTGCCCCCTGCTCGTGTCGCCTCCTGTCCCACGAGACTCTTCTCTGGCACCACCGTCTTGGTCACCCCTCCCTGCCACGCCTCCGTGGCATGGCCTCTCGTGTCCTGGTCTCTGGTCTCCCCCGGTCGCTCCCTCCCCTCCCCCCGGGGCCTGCCCCTACCTGCGTCCCCTGCGTCGAGGGGCGGCAGCGCGCCGCTCCTCAATCCTCCGAGTTTCCGCCGACAGGGGCTCCGCTGCAAACTCTTCACATGGACGTGTGGGGCCCAGCCCGCGTCCGTGGACAGGGTCACGAGCGCTACTTCCTGCTGGTGGTTGACGACTACTCGCGTTACACCACAGTCTTCCCCTTGCGCCGCAAGGATGAGGTCACTAAGGTGTTGATCGACTGGATCCGCGCAGCTCGTCTCCAACTCAGGAAGAGTTTCGGCTCGGACTTTCCTGTTCTGCGTCTGCACTCTGACAGAGGTGGAGAGTTTTCCTCCGGCCCTCTGCGAGCCTTCTGTCGTGCGAGGGGCATCCGCCAGACGTTCACGCTTCCAGCCTCTCCACAGCAAAATGGGATTGCTGAGCGCCGCATTGGCATGGTCATGGATGTCGCTCGCACGTCCATGATCCATGCGGCTGCTCCCCATTTTCTGTGGCCGTTTGCGGTTCAGTACGCGGCGCGTCAGATCAACCTTCAGCCCCGGGTCTCCATGCCGGAGACCTCCCCCACTCTGAGGTGGACGGGGAAGGTTGGCGATGCGTCTGCGTTCCGTGTCTGGGGATCTCGGGCTTTTGTCCGAGACTTGTCTACGGACAAGCTGTCCTCCCGTGCTGTTCCCTGCGTCTTCCTTGGCTTCCCCCCTGACGCGCCTGGTTGGCAGTTTTACCACCCCACCTCGCGCCGTGTTCTGTCCTCCCAGGACGTCACGTTTGACGAGTCGGTTCCGTACTACCGTCTCTTCCCCTACCGCGCTGCCCCCCTTCCCCCCCCGCCGCTCTTCCTTACGCCAGGTCCCCCCCCGGTAGACCCCCTCCCCCCTCAGGGTCCTGCTCCTTCAGGTGTGTCTCAGGTAGACCCCCCCCCCTTGGCTGAGCCTTTGGAGGTCACTTCCGACACCTCTGGCCCACCTGAGGGGGGTGACGCTGCTGCTGACGCCCCGGCGGCCTACCGCCGTGCACCACGCTTGGAGACCCCTCCA